CTAAACCCCCAAACCCCTAACCCCCGAAGCACCCAAACCCCTAACCCCTAAACCCTAAACCCCTAAACCCCTAAAACCCCTAAACCCCTAAAACCCCCAAATCGCCCAAACCTCTAAAACCCTAAACCCCTAACCGTAACCCCTAACACCCTAAAGCCCTAAACCCTAAACCCCTAAAGCCCTAAACCCCTACCCCCTAAACCCCCAAACCCCTAACCGTAACCCCTAAACCCCTAAAGGAAACCTTATAGATCCCTTAAAAGGAACCCTATACTCTGCTAACTCTACTCCGAGGCCGTGGCAGCAGGATCAAACAGCGGCGGTGCTCCAGCCCCAAAGGATGGTCGAACCTATGGGTTTAAGATTTGGGGCTTAGGGTTTATAGGGTTTAAGGGGGAGGTTTAGGGTTTTAATTAAGGTTTGGGGCTTAAGGATTTAGGGGTTTAAGGTTTGGGGTTTAAGGTTTGGGGCTTAAAGCTTAAGGTTTGGGGCTTAAAGTTTAAGGTTTGGGGAGTAAAGGGTTTTGGAGTTCAGGGTTTTTGGGGTGGTTGGGGTGTTAGGGGTTTCAGGGCCTAGCTTTGGGGCTGGGGCTGAAGGTTTGGGTTTAGGGCTTGGGGTTTAGGGTTTAGGGTTTAGGGCGTAGGGTTTAGGGTTTAGGGCGTAGGGCTTCGGGCTTAGGGTTTAGGGCTGCGGTATGGTTTACTCTGAAGATTCTTTGTTCGGAACGTCTGCAGGTTCGGTTTTAAAATAGCCTAGGACGTGGACATGCTGTGAAGAAGTTGTGAGAGACTTGTCCAACATAACGCTGCGAACTCCGGGTTCAGACAAATTCATGCTCTGATGCGTCTACCCGAAACCCTAAACCCTAAACCTTAAACCCTAAACCGTAAACCTTGAACCCTAAACCCTAAACCTTAACCCAAAAACCCTAAACCTTAAACCCTAAAGCATAAATCTTATAAACCCTGAACCCGAGCTTCAGAATGCCTTTGTGCGCTTCTTCTCCGGGTCCGAACTCTTTGGGCTTGTCGCCTTGGGTGAAACTAGGGCTCTGATATGTGCAGTTCTCTAAATTAGGGTGGGTTTAGGGTCTAGGGTTGAGGGTTCTTGGGTGGTTCTCTAAGTTACGGTCCCCTTTTTTAGGTCCCCAAGATAGTACGGCACCCTAATTAAAAAAAAAGGACCCTTAAAGGGACCCTAATTTAGAGAACTACCTATATGACTATAGCAACACAGAGTAACAAGATGTAACAAGTATACGCGCAACCTCTACTTTTCAGAAGAAGGCTCTGCAAACCCAGTTTACCACGCTATATAAGACCTTGAGGCAGAGGCATAGTTGTCGATGTCAATGGCCCAGACGCTGTCGAAACGGAGGCCTCGAGAAATTAAGGTTGGACACCCGCTTGGCTGTGCTCTTACGCTTTTCTCCTGTTTCTTTTGCGTGTGCTTCACGCATGTTTAGGATTAGGGCTTCCTGTCGCGGAAAGGGGACTGATGTGTCACGAAGAACTCTTTGTCTGGTCTTGAGCTTAAGCTTTTAGAGGCTGTAACCAACCCCCCCTAAACCCAAAACGCCAAACCGTTTTGCTACTGGACTCAAGACGACGTCTGCAGCATCATCATCGAGTGCAGTCACTTGAGAAGCCATGTCCTTCCCTGGACTTTGAAGTAACCAGGGAGAAAAAAGTATAGACTTTTAATTTATAATGGTTCCTTTAAGGAACAGGTCGAAAAAAAAAGTATTCAAGTATCGTACTCTAAAACCCAGTTCCACTGGCGTCACTGGAGCCTGTCCCCTGCCAGCACCATGAGGGTCGCTTCGGAAATTTCAGGTTAATATAGGGGCCTTAATAATTAGAATAGGGTTTGGGGTATATTATACTATAATTGTAATACGGAACCCCCAACACCCTATCTTAATTATTAAGGCCCCTGCATTAGCTTCCCATCTGCTTGATGAACTCTTGTGCCAATTCTATATGGCGCTGTTCCAGGGGTCTGTAAAGGTTCGATGACACGTAGCCGCGCTGTAAGTACTCTGACTGGCTCTTGAGCTTGCCAAAGTCTTGTTGAAGAAGGCAAGCACTTTCGTGCTTGCGACGCTGCATGCACCCTCGTCCGATGAAGTGTTTTCACACAAAACCCTAGACCCCCAAATCCTGCATCCTATAGCCCCCAACCGTAAAAGCCTAGCCCCTAAATCCCAAAACCACATATACTACGGAAAACCTTCTGAAGTATGGAAAAATTGAGATAAACCCCCATGTAGAGGCTCCGGAGATTTAGTACGCAGAGTTCTACTTGCCATAATTTCGGCATTCAATCCACCTATCTGCGATCATTCTAGTTAAGTGAGCAATACCCTCAAGCGGGTGCACATTCTGAGTGCGCTCGCGACCCGGAACGGGCAAAATCCGAACAACCCTAAACCCCTAAACCCTAAACCCCTAAACCCTCTTATAGGACCCAGACCGAAACCCGAACTGCCTATGTGTCCCGACAGGAGTTTAACTTTGGGGCGTTGGGATCAGGGTTTGAGGTTTAGAGTTCAGGGGTTGAGGGTTTAGGGTTTAGAGTTCAAGGGTCTAGAGTTTAGGGTTCAAGGGTTTAGGGTTTAGAGTTTAGAGTTCACTGTAATAGAATAACGCTCAGAATCCACAAGCTTGCCCGAAGGCTTCCCGAACCTACATATTCCTGAGTCCCAGTGTACACTTTACAAGCAACCTGCATAAGCCCCGTAAGGAACCTAAACCCTAAACCCCAAAAGCCCTAAATCCAAACACCCTAAACCCCAAACCACAAACACCCTAAAGCCAAGCGCCGCACTCTTGGCGATATCAAAGACGGCATTGAACCTGGGGGCCAGGACTTGAAAACGAATATGGGTAGGTCTCTAAACTCGGATCCCTTTTGGTTCGGGTTTAGGGTTTAGGGTTATGTTGGGGTTTCTATAAGGGTGCGGTGGGAGTTCTGTCGGGGTAGTTCTCTGAACCAGGGTGCCGGCCAAGGATTCCTTAAAGGGATTTATACAGGGGTCTACAAGGTTCCTTAAAGGGATCTATAAGGGTTTCTATAGGGTTTCTGTAACGGTACTATGGGGGGTGGCTCTCTAAATTAGGGTCCCTTCAAGGGCCTTAAGAGCGCAGTGCTATTCGAGAACCCATTCGCTTTTTTTTAAAGCTTGCTTGTGATTTCCCTCGCACTAGATTGAATCTGTCCGACCAAAACGGAAACCACTGGTTGCTTAGTCTTAGCTGTTGTTGTGTGTCTTTGGCTGTTTTGGTATCCGTCGTTGCTTATCAGCAAAAGGTTTGGGTTGAGTTCGGGCTGAGGCCACGGCCCCTGCCCCCCCCTTCGCCCCCGCCCCCAACCCACACCCTAAGACAATATGTATCCGAATAGAACCCTGATAGAAAGCCTTAGAGAACCAACCTTAAAGCCTAAACCTAATAACCCTAAACCCTATTAAGCCCTAAAGAACGGCCCGGGCCAAGTTCGGCATCCCTAGTGCGGAGGAAGGCGCTTGTCTAGGTCGAAGTTCCACCGCTCGATGTAGAAGCGGTTGATCCTGCTCCTGTGTGGCTCAGACGGTTTAGAGCTCAGTGCCTAGGGGATTGGGGGAATCCTAAGCCCGGAGCCTTAACCGTCATTTGAATAAGCGTTTATCACAGGTTCTGTGGGGGCTGGGCTTAAGGCCTTAGCCATTATAGGGCCTCAGGGTCGTTGGCATAGTCGGCTATGGCATATCCCTGCAACCCTGAACCCTAGAAGCCCTAAGCCCTAAAACCCCTAAACCCCCAACCCTAAAGAACCCTCCCCAAAAAAGCACAATCAATAAGATGGCCCGTCTCGGCCAGTCTCGTAGAGTGATGCTCTGCGCAGCCCAAAGTGCGGTAGGCCGATTTTGAGTTGGGATGTCTTCAGGCATTACGGTTTGGCGTTTCCGGGAATAGATGCAAGAAATGAGCATGGAATGTTTTTGGATAATATTCACGGCGCAATGTCACAGAGCATGCCTAGATCTCCCATGCGAAGTTGCTGAAACCTTTGGCAGACCCTGTTCAAAAGCCGCTGACATACTGAAAATGATCCCAAACTCCTACGACACGAAACCTCGATGCTAAGCACTTACCCAAAGTCCACTTAAATTAGAACCCTTACAAAAACAACCCCACCACCCCATCTTCACATACAAGGCTCGTGACGGACATTTTCTGGGATCCATGTGAGTCGGTTGAGTCGAGGATCAGGAAAGCCGAAGCACCCATTCGCGGTTAACCCCCAATCCTAAACCCCTCGACCACAGGACGGGCCCCCCCAGCTGTTCGGCAGCCCGGCCTGCTCGGAATGACCTTTTGGGCACCAGCCACCTAAGAACGCGGGGATTCGGTCGAAGTCTTCTAACAAGACTGGTAACCCTAGTCGTTGTGATGGTAAGGGGCTGGTGGTGATGGTGGTGTGGTGGCATGGTTGATACCCTTCCGCCACGGAGCTTCTACAACACAACAGGGCTTGCTACAGAGCATGCATATGCTTCAGCCAAGCCTACCAAATAACAACTTGATGTCTCCGGCTGGTTTCGATGCTTCCCGCTCCAAGTGGGGCGAATCAACACTTCAGCTCGAAAGTCTCTTGATTATTGATGCTTGGCAAAGGAATACGCATTGAAGGACCGCTAGCATGTGTAGAAAACTGCTGGTAATCTGGTGATGCTGACTGCTGTGTTAGGTTGTCGGGCAAGACGCACAACTTGAACTCCAAAGTCTTCTCATTCTTGGCGGACGGATGCGCATTTTGGACTCGGTTCCAGGCGTGGAAAACTGCTGTTGATGCGAACAGTTGTTTTACATGTTCGTCGTGAAACTCTTAAGCAATAGCCATGCTGGGCCATGCAGGTAAAGCAAACTTTACACTGGACGACCCACTAGCTTCTAGCTTCAGACTGCGAGTGCCGTATATTTACGGCACATGGCCGCGTACGGCGAAAAATGGCTGAAACCCGACACCACGGACACCTTTGGCGTCGGGGTCTCGGACTTCTCCCTCCTCATCCACTTCGCCAGGCTCCACGGGAAACGCTTTCCCGCAGCAGCTGCAGCCGCAGCCTCCGCCCTCTTCTTTTGCTTGAGGGCCCCAAGAAGCGACCGGCAACGTCGCTCCTCTGCTTCCTCGGCTTGTTCCTGGCGAAGTTCCAGCAGAAGCCCCTCTAAGTTTCGGAGGTGCTCGCCGTACTCCGCTTCCAACTCTTCTTCCGTCCAGTCTGCGTTCCCACTTGGAGATGGCCGTGTCCAACGGCCGAATTCCACACCTCCTCGCTCCAGGAAGCCCGTGTCCGGGATGTCTACTTTCGACAACGCCTCGTGCTCCGAGATGTGGCCCGCGGCCAGCCTTACCACTGAGGGAAATCGCATCGAGGACGACAACTCCAAGCTTTCGTAGGAAAGTTCTAAGTCTCCCATGACACTGCTAGCTTCTTCCTCCTCCTCCTCCTCCTCGTCCTCCTCCCCATGGTCGCTGTCACTGCTCATCGTGAAGGTCGGCACCGTCTCGTCGTTTTCACCCGCTGCTGTGGACATCTTCCTCTCCATGGCCTCCGCCTCCGCCACGACCTTCCTTCGCAAAACCTCTTTCAAGCGATGCTCCCACGTCTTCACCTCTGCCCCGAGCGCAGCCACCCTCCTTGTTTCCGTCTCCACGGCAGCAACGAGATTGGCCTTCTGTGCCTTGCACAACGCGGCCTCCTCTTTCAGCTTCCTGGCCTGCAGCTGCTGCAGCTGCTGGCTCTCTTTCTTGCGGTCGGCCATGCGACAATTCTGCCGCAGAATATTGACCTCTTGCTTACTCGCAGTGATATCATTCTGAAGATTGTGCAGAAGGCAATGGTACTTGGCGATGTCCCTGGCCGCGCTGCTGTGCTGGCTACAGGACTCCATCTCTATCTTGTGGCGCCTTCTGTTTGCCTCATCTCTCTCCTGCCTAGCCTCCAAGATTTTTTCTCGGAGGATGCTCTCTTCGGATGTCGCCAGGCGATCCTCGTCAGGTGAGGAATTCAAAGGGCCTGGCTTCTTGTCCACCGGTGCTGTCTCAGCCTGACGAGCAGGTCCTGGCAGCATCCGCAGCTGCTGAAGCAGCTTTTGCTGCAGCTCCACTCCGGCTACCATGATTGCTACTCCTGGCTCAGAGGCTTTCTATACCCTCTGAGATTCACTCCTGGCTCTGATGAGTCAAAAGTGCTGAGCATGACGACGCTGATCTGTGACAAGCGCAATTATGAGGGTCACAGACATGGTGCCGAGCCTAAGTAGTCCAGCAACTCTCCAACAATTGGTTCTCAATCCGATGTTCAGAACCAAACCTGAAGCCTTCCGACTGGCGTCTAGGCCCTAAAACCTGACATCCGCAAACCCTTCCCAGGCTTGTTGAGGAGGCTTAAGCGCAGGGCCATGCGCAAGTAGTTGAACTCGGGTGCCAGGGTCAGGCCGCCGGCAGAAGTCCAGCCTGCCAGCATTTTATTGTGGTCAAGAACTTCAAAAGAGCACCATGGGTTTGGAGAGGCCCGCGCAAGCAGGATGGTCGGGTCAAGTAGCTGCGGTAGAGGAGGAAGTAGATGTCGTCGTCGGGGCTAGTAGTAGAGGTAGAATTAGAAGTAGTTGCAGAAGAAGTAGTAGTAGTCGTAGTCGTCGTCGTAGTAGTAGTGGTAGTAGTAGTAGTAGTAGTAGTAGTAGGCGTGGGTGTCATATTTGACGCCACGTTTTTGT